CACTGGCTGGTGTGTAACATCCAGTATTTGACCACTACCTTCATTGTCACTAACTACTTTACTCACAGTAGCTATCAACAGAATATAGTGGTAGCTCATTTGCTTAGCATGCCAGAAAGCCTAAATTTCATCCCTAGCACTAGGGTTAAAAACCACCTTAGTGGGGAAAACAGTGGGCTGTGATCATAGCCATCTTCTCACATGGCTGTAAGAGGACTTGAGCTAAGTCTAGACCCCAGCTGCTGACCAGAAGGTTCACATTTTATAAATGGCTTCTTCATGTCTATTGGACTTCTCACAGCATTTTGGCCAGATTCTGAGAGTTTGCATAACAAAACAGGAAGAAGCTGCATTCAGAAGCTGTGCAGCAGTACGTATTTTCTTAGTTCTAAATCTGTTTCAGAGAGGAGGCCATTGAGGAATATAAAGGTAAGGTCTGAATTTGTAGCTACGTAGCTGGTCCTGTCTCACATTGTCTTGTAGAATGCATGTCTTCACCAGAAACAAATATGAATGTCTTGTAGAAATAGTAATACAGTGCTTCCGTGAGCACTGGTGCCAGTCACTGTCTACCTTGAGTTGTAACAAAACAAATACTGGTCTTAACCAGGCAGTCAGGTTACCAACTCTGACTCAGTCTTAGCTAGAAGGCAAAAACCGTGTACATCACAATAGGCCGGCTTGTCACAATCACAGAGAATATATTCTTTGGGGAGACCATAGAATTTATCTGCAAGAGGTTGCTAGAATTTAAAATCAGACTTAGTCTTTGGGTAATTCTGTAAGTATTCCTTTAAATCTTACCTCCCAGGAGGACAGATGATTATTTTTTCTGTATTTAAAAAATGTTTGTCATATTTAATAAAAGGATGTTTAGGAGGAAAATAAGAAAATCCTATTGATGGCTGAAAGTTTGCTCACACACAAAGTCCCTTTCCTATCAGGACCTGAGGACAGACAGACACAGAACTAGCTGCAAAAGTAACAGAACATGTTTTTGTCCAAAGTCTTCAAGCAGCTTTGTGATGCCATCGTGACACTCATCTTGTGGATTTGTTACTAGCAACTCCACCCAGGAATTGCTTTTGCTATTAGTGGGTAGACCCCATTCCTAACCTGCCCTTGTTTCACGGCAGCACTCAAACTGCTTCTTATATTGCTTTCAAAAAAGCATCTCCCTTCCCTTAGGACTTACTCAGAGCATCCAAGGGGAACTCATTTTTTTTTTTAATTTTTTAATTTATTACAACTTACTCACTTTGCATCCCAGCTGTAGTCCCGTCCCTCAGCCCCTCCCTCTCTTCTCCCATGTCCCTTCCCACTGATAGGGGAGGTTCTCCTCTTCCATCTGATTCTAGCTTATCAGGTCTCCTCAGGACTGTCTGCATTGTCTTCCTCTGTATCCTAGTAAGGCTGCCCCCCCCCCAGGGGGAAGTGATCAAAGAGCCAGCCCCTGTTCTTACTAGGAACCCACTTGGAGACTGAACTGCCTATCTGACAGAGGGCTAATATCCAGAATATATAAAGAACACAAGAAGTTAAACAGCAACAAATCAAGTAATCCAATTAAAAAATGGAGTACAGCTAAACAGAATTTTCAATAGAGGAATATAGAATGGCAGAGAAACACGAAGAAATGCTCAGTGTCCTTAAGTCATCAGGAAAATGCAAATCAAAATGGCCTTGCACCTATCAGAAATGGCTTGGATCAAAAATTCAAAGTGACAACATGCTGGAGAGGATGTGGAGAAAGGTGAACCTTACTCCACTGCTGGTGGGAATGTAAACTTGTACAGCCACTTGGGAAAGCAATCTGGTGCTTTCTAAAACAATTAGGAATAGTGCTTCCCCAAGACCCAGCTATACCACTCCTAGGCATATATCCAGATATGCTCAAGTACACAAGGAGATTTGTTCAACCATGTTCCTGGCAGCTTTATTCGTAATAGCCAGAAGCCAGAAACAACCCAGATGTCCCTCAACGGCGGAATGGATACAGAAATTGTGATACACTTACACAATGGCATACTACTCAGCAATTAAAAACAAGGAAGTCATGAAATTTTCAGGGAAATGGTGGGAACTAGAAAAAATCATCCTGAGTGAGGTATCCCAGAAGCAGAAAGAAACACATGGTATACACTCACTTATAATGTAGGATAATCATACTTAAAATCTATACACCTAAAGACGCTAAGCAAGAAAGAACTCAGTTCTAGTAGAGATGGCACTCCTTTCCCTTATGAAGATACCCTTCCTGTCTTGTCAGCAAGGTCTGAGCCTGGTTGTCTGACTAGACTTTTGCAGATGGAAATATTTAAGCTCATGCTGCTGTCCTATTGTGTTGGTCTAGGGAGAAAAAACAAAAAACAAACAAACAAAAAACCTGGGGCTGGAGAGATAGCTCAGAGGTTAAGAGCACTGTTCTTCCAGAGGTTCTGAGTTCAATTCCCAGCAACCACATGGTGGGACACAACCATCTATACTGGAATCTGATGCCCTCTTCTGTCATGCAAATGATCTACAGATAGAGCACACTTATATGTCAAATAAATAAATAAATAAATAGGAAAAAAAAAAAAAAAGCCCTCTGAACACAACAGGACTGCCTGTGTGCAGCCAGAGTGTTTTAGAAGTGTTTTTGGCTCTCTGATTTTTCTTGTATCAGAGTCCTATCGTCAGTCAGTTGGTCTTCGAAAGTAGCCCATATTTATCCATTCCCATGTCTCCTAGTTGCTCTTCAAATTCATTATGTTGTCTTTCCCACGATATGCAATGATTCTGACTAAAACTGGCTCTGGCCACTACCTCACTAAACCTAACAGATCTGTTTTCAGCTTGCCCTTTGGTAGTAATGACATCAAAAATAAAATATAAAAAAAAATAAAATAAAGACATCTAGGCATCCAAGGAACAGTAATTAGTTTTCTCTGTGCTTTTCTGAGCCTCTCTTGCTTTACCTAGTTTCTTTTAATTTTTAAAAATTACTTTATTTTGTATGTGTGGGTATTTTGCCCCATATGTATCTGTACCAGTTTGTGCCTGTTACCCAGGGAGGCCAGAATAAAGTGTCTGATTCCCTGGAACTGTAGTTACAGAATGTTTTCAGCTGCTATGTGGGTGTTGGGAATTGAACCCAGGTCCTCTGTAAAAGCCTGTTCTCTTAACTGCTGAGCCATCTCTCCAACCCCCTTAATGTTCTAATGTCACATTCTTTGTTTCATTGTTTTAAATCTTCAATTAGCACATAACAGCCAAGCTCTCCAGGTGTGTATTTCGTAATTCCAACCAAAGCTTATTTACAATTTTCACCAAGTAAACTCGGAAAACTTAAATCTAGCTCAAACTTCTAGATTTATTTCTTATAACCTCTGCCACCTTTCCACTTGCCCAAACCAGAAAATGGGGCCTATCCCAAGTATAGTAGTTCCCAAGAATACTATTTTATTAATCTCATGCTGAAGCTGCTATCTTCTTAGTGCTGAGGACTTACATTCTAGGGGGTATTTTCTCTCCTGTTATTTGTTCAAAAGCTACCTACTGAGTTCTTCTCATCCTTGCTGCAAAATCTTCTCCATCAGCAATTCCAGTAGTCTTTCAAAAACATAACTTGTAGTAGAAATTCCATTCAGGTTCTCAAAAACTAGAGCAGGGATGGAAGACAACTGTGCAGTGTATAACCCTGTGACGGGTCATTACTAAATAAAACTGCACGTGCAGTGGCGCACACCTGTACTCCGGTGCTCCGGGAGGCGGAGTTGGCCGACACTGTAAGTTGGAGGCCAGCCCGGTCTGAACAGCCAAGGATACACAGACAAACCCTGTTTCAGAAAACAGAGAGGGAGGGAGGGAGAGAAACAGACCTTATCTGTCCGAGGATGTCTTCACATAAGATTGTGATCACTGCATTATCAGTATTTTATCAAGTGATGGTTAACTGAAGAGTTAGATGTTTTCCCAATCCCCTGATGCTGCTATCTTTGCTTAAAGCTCTTGTGCTAAACAAGTATTCCTAATAAAAAGTTGCCTAGAGATTTCTTAATAAATTAGAATCAGAAGATTCCCTCAAGTCTGGCTCCACCCATAACGAGCAGGCCTCCTTCCTCCCTAAGCATGCTTCAGACCCTTCAAGAGAAATATCCTTCCTTTGGACTGCTTGGAGCTGGAGTCTTAACGCAGAGCCTTAACCTTTGCTTGTATGTAGCAAATGCCTATTTAGAACTCCAGATTTCAAGCTATGGTCCTATGCAGAGTGTCCTTGTGGAGAAATCTGCCCACCTTTGCTCTGAGTTTATGGTCATACTGAGGGCTATAAGGCAGCCCAAGGAGGTCTGCTTTACTACCAGGATGTCTGCTGTAGACATGTATCTAGTCTGGGGGCCAGACTATTTCTGTTGGGCTCGAGGGACGGAAGGTGGGAGTCAGACCCGAATGGTGCTCGCCTTCAATCCCAGAATTTGGGAGGCGGAGCCTGGCAGATCTCTGAATTCTAGGCCAGCCTAGTCTACTAAGCAAGTTCCAGGTCAGACAGAAAAACCCTATCACACCCCCCCTCCCCAAACTTTCAGATTTCAGTGAAAATATTTTCTCAGACTATATTTACTCATAGGCCGCTGTCTTCATCTTAGGAACAGCCATAACTGTAATCGGATGATTATTTTGTCTTCCCAATCACTCTCCAATCCTCACCCAGACCCCCAACGAATTGGGCTAATCCGCAGCGTACACTGCTGACGTAGTAGACTCTGTACACGTCTAATGGCAGTAAGAATTTGCAGACATTTTCTGGAACTTCTTAAAACAAGGGGCTTCTATCTTCGATTTAATAACTCCTCTAACATCCAGCCTTGGGTCAGCGTTGCCTCTGAGGGAAGAAGGCTGATTCACAGTCCCAATTCCTACTTGACCAGGGCTCTTCCGCGGCCTTTTCCGGTACCGCGTCCTGCAGGGAAGGAGGCGGGACTTCCGGGTTCGCTTGTTCCGGGTGCTGCGCCTTCCTCTCGGCGCGGGAGGTTCGAGCTGCTGCCTCGCTCTTTTGTTTTGTTTCGGTCCTCCGGGTCCGCCGACGCTGCCCCAGCCTCCTGGACTGAACGGGCGTCTGGCTCGGAACACTTCTTGTGTTCATGCTCTTCCGCAGACGTGCGTGTTTTCCTTCATCAAGAAATATCCCTCGGTAGTTAATGTATTACTGAAGTAACCCGGGAGAAGTAATCGCCGACCAGACAGTTGCTGCCACTTGAACAAAATAGAGGTCGGTCAGAAACGCTGGCTTTCGAAGTGGGAAACAACGTCTCAGCCAGAACTGCCGAGTGAGTGTCAGAGGTTTGGCGGTGGTCTTGAGGGTGTTTACCGGCCTGTGTTTTGAAAAACGAGCTTGCAACACGCAGAACAGATGAGGCTTTCGGGTTCGTTAGCCCCCTGACGTAACGTGTTGACTGGTGAGAATGCAAATGAGGCCGAAAGAAGGGTTGAAGCCGGCTTGTGGTGTCCTGTGGTAACGACTAGAACTTTAAACGCCACATTCTCTTGTGTATGCTTGATTATCTAAATAATAATTTCAATAAAGTTGTTATATGGGGGGTTGCAAAGGTAGCTATCTCATCCTCAGTCGGAATCAGAAAATACAAACTATGTGTCAGTACCTGTTTTCCCTTAAAATGCCAGGCAGAGCTATGCACGTGTATCTCGTCATCTCCTGTCATGGTCTTTGCTCATTAACATAGCGCAAGATGTAAAGCAGTTAGCGGGGCCTTACTTGTGGAAAGTTACAACTTGGTTATCTCTTTCCACAGTAAATCCCAGGGATGCAATTCAGTTCGTCAGGCCTGCATGGCAAGCACCTTCACATGCTGAATTACCACATCTGCCCAAGTTGCTACATGTTTCTTACGAGTATACTTGGTTTATCTGAAATGAGATCCTGAGCATATCATATACAAAAAATTAAAATTGAGGAACAGTAAAACTATGAAACTTAGAAGGACATTTGTGACTTTGGGAGAGGTCTTCTCCTTCCAAGTTATGTTCTGACAGCGGATCAAAGTCCTAGCGGTTACTCACGGCTCTTTGCTAAGGCAGTTCATTTCAGATCACAGGTAGACGAAGACTGCTCTTGCACCAAGAGTGTGCACGGTGACAGTGTGTGTACCCAGGCGTGGACATGGCAGCCGAAGTGCGAATGGTGCTCTATGAGGATGACTCAGTCCATGTGCGTTATGCCGATGGCTCCAAACTGCAGCTTTCTCCTTGTGGCTCCGAATTTCTCTTTGAAAAGGCACCTCCTCTTTCAACACATCCCTTAGAACAACCAGAGAGAATTCGTCAGCGGACACACTTTGTTATTAGCACCTACAGGGTAAGTAATATCACAAAAATACTCTGTTTCTTTGTTTTTCGAGACATGGTTTCTCTGTAGTTTACAGAACTCACTGAGTTTAAGTGCTGGGATTAAGGAGTATGCTACCACCAAACCAGGGGAAAGTTCTCTTTTTATTCCAAAGAAGTGGTTGGAGCTGCTAAAATATGAAAGGTAACTAGAATTCCGAACTTTTGTCATAAACTGATTTTCAAATAATTTTACATTTTTTTTTTATAGGAACAAGTACAGCGAGCCCTTGATTTTCGAAACTCTTCGGCTATGTGCCCTTTTTTATCTGAAAGCATCATACCTTCTGAAAGAAAAAAGGTGATTTTTTTTTTTTTTTTTGTAACCACATTTTTATGAGTACTATTTGAGTACAGGTTAGCTGAGATTTAGCACTTGGAAATAAGTACATGCTCTAGAATACACAGACTTATTATTTGTTTCATCAGACTAAGGAGCACAGACGTTACAAATTTCAACTCCTTAACATTTTCTTTATAACCAAGGATTATAGCACTTCAGTATTCTCTTGTGTCTTTGTTTTGTTTTGTTTTTTTGAGACAGAGTTTCTCTGTAGCTCTGGCTGTCCTGGACTCACTTTGTAGACCAGCCTGGTCTCAAACTCACAGCGATCTGCCTGCCTTTGCCTCCCAAGTGCATGTGTCTCAATATTAAGAAGTTTCATAAACAAATTTTAGTCAGCTATGTGTGGTGGCTAATGTATAATAGGGTATAAGCCTGGTTTGCTTTTCCAGAGCTGTGACAAAAACCTGACGGAACGCAAGCTGGGGAGGAAAGGACTTGTTTCATGTACTCGTTTTCAGTCCTTCTTGAGGGAAGCCCAGGTGGGAAGAAAGGCAGAGAGCAGGAGGAGCACTGCTGTGGGCTTGCTTTCTCTGGCGTGCTGAGCTGCCCTCCTTATATAACCCAGGCCCACCTGCCCACAGTGGTGTCGTCTCCACAGTGACACACTTTCCCACGTGACTCAGCAACCACAGGCATGTGCACAGACCAGCCTGATAGAAGTATTTCCTCAGTTAAGTTCCATCTTTCCAAGTGACCAGTTTGTGACAAAAACCTAGCCGGCACTATACATAATTATGCATACATAATTGTATACTATACATACTTATGTATAAGTATAAAAATTTTACTCTTGCTCATATTTTATTTTGAAGAATAATGATAAATTTCATTCATGAAGACTGTGGACTTGGAACCAGAGCCAGTATTAAAAATATTTAAAGGGAAAAAAAAAAAAAATTTAAAGGCCAAAGTGAGAGGATCACTTGACCCTCTAAATTTGAGACTAACATGGGCAATGTAATTAGATCCTGTCTCCAAACTAAAACTTCAGTAGTACCAGTGTGGTGTGGGTATCTGCCAATATTTCCTGAATTACCATCCCTTGTATAGAAAAACTGTGTTTCAAAGATAAATCCTCTGATTTATCTGTGGAATTTTTTAAAGTGGCAAAGTTAGGACTTGGCCCTAGTCTGAGTCTTGGTTGTAGGGAGTGAGCCTAGGACCTCACCTGGTAGGAAGGCACTTCACCGCGGAGCCCGCCCTCAGCCCAGGTGCCTTAGTAACTTTCTGCTACTTTCCAGTGTTCTCCTGCCTCCTTACTGAGTAATTTCATACTGTGTTGTGGCTGCTTTAGCAGTTTTATATCTGTTTACATTGCTGTCACAAAATGCCTGAGATGAACTGTTTACTGTTGAGAAGTGCTTGGCTCATTGTCATTTGGCCCTATCACTGTTGGCTTATGTGGAAGCAGCACAATGATGAATGTAGGGTGAAGCAAAGCATCGAAGCCAGGAAGCAGAAGGAGTAAGAGAAGGGGATAAGGAATAAGTAAGATAAGCCCTTTGTTGGCTCTCCCTCAGAGACCTACTTCCTCCAACCAGAGGAATTCTGTGAACGCATCAATAGATTAATCCTTTGAGGAAACTAATATCTTCATGATCCAGTCACTGCTCTGCAGTGCCACTAGCTTGAGACCACACCCTTATCACCTACTCCTTTGTGAAAGTCACCTCATAGTTACACCTTGCAGGCAGAAGAGCTTAAGATGTTAAGAGCCCTAACTTAGTCTGGAGGACATCTTCGTTTTATTTTGTTTTTCGAGGCAGGGTTTCTCTGTGTAGCCTTGGTTGTTCTAGACTCACTTTGCAGACTATGCTGGCCTAGAACTTAAGGATCTGCCTGCCTCTGCCACCTTCCCCGGCTTTTCCAGTGTTTTTGAATAACTGCATTCACTGAAACAGTGTCATTTGCTGTGGATGCTGCAGTGTGGTCCCTGGACAGTGGGTCAAGAGCTTTCCCAATTGACTCTCCTTAAACGTTTACCATCAGTCACTGCCTCTAAGATGAGTATTTCAACTTGGATGGCTCTGTAAAGAGGCTTTGTTGACAATAGTTTTAGTAAAGTTAAGCTTTAATAAAGATGGAAGTTGAAATGTTGAACTATATACAATAATTGATCAGAATATTGTTATGTACAGTACTGTTGATTTCTTATATAAAAAAGCATATAGGGGATTGCTAACTCTTGAGTGTGCTATTTGTTAAGGTCGATTTATGTTTTGAGTATTTAAGTTGTTTTAAATGACTTTTAAAGCCACTAGAACTTATTTTAGCTAATGGCCTACTGGGTGCCTTCTAGGACAGGTACTTCATGTTACTTTTTGGTTTTTCTGGTAGTAACAGCATTTCTGTTGAAGTGCTATCTGGTACTCCAGTACCTAAAAAACAATTCTCACCTTTCTCCTATCTCATGTGACATTTTAAAGATGCTGACTTTATTTGTGTGTTATCTGTGTTGTTTTCTCAATGACTTTCACACTAGTTCCACACTGCGAAAGCTTCAGTTGCTTTTCTATAGCACATCACAGCTGAGGCTCTCCTTCATCTGTCTTCTTCAGGTTAGGTTTTTGGAATGAATGGTATGCCAAGGCATCTCTTCCTAGTTCATTGAACATTTTAAATCAAAGTACAGTTAACACTAATCAGATGATATCTACCTCTTCTTTCCTCTTGTGTGTACGTGTGTCCATGAGTTTACATGTGTGTGTTTTTCTCAGAGAAATACTTTCAGATAATCCAGTATTATCTGTAAAACCATATATTGACTCCAGTTTTTTATTTTCTAGGAAGTAAAAACACAAGTATATAAACTCTTTCCTACATCATACTTTTAATATCAAAAGTATGGAAGAATTGAACATTAACAGAAAATACTGTTATTTTTTTTCCTCTCTCAATTCAGCATATCCTCATTGATTTCTCAGAAATAAAATGGCCCAGTCTAGACAGCGATGACAGTGCCACATACTCGGAGAGTGGTACAGTGAAGATAACGTCACTAGATGGACACGCCTACCTTTGCTTACCAAGATCTCAGCATGAATTTACAGTACGTTTTTTGTGTAAAGTGAGCCAAAAGTTGGATTCATCTGTAATACTATCTGAAAAGAAAAATCAGGTCCCAAAAGATAAACTGGTCGAAAAGACCAGGAGAGTCTATAGATGTGCAAGTTTACCAGGACAGAGACTGAAGAATAAAGAAAATGAGCCTCGTTACCAGATCATGACCTCTAAAGATGCTTCAACAAACATATGTTATGTGACTGGAACTGAGGGGAGGGAGGCGCTGCCTTCCCTGGGTCCGGAGCACAAGTGTGTATATGCATGGGTAGAACAGTGTTGCTCTGTTGCCTCCTGTCCAGAGGAGTGGAAATACCCTTTGTCTTTAGCGCTGCGTTTCTATAACAAAGGTAGTGTTGCATCTAACGTTGACGCCAGTTTCCCTGCAATTTCCAATGATCTGGAAGAAAGAAGAGAAGAGGTGTCTGTCCTTCCCAGGGTCTTGTCACTCAGCTGCTCTGCCCCACACATGCACAGGTAAAGCAAGAATGGTTTGTTGCACAGAAAGGTTTGGGAAGACCCTGTCTTCACTCTAAGCATCACTTTCTAGAACGTTGGATACTGTTGAGGCTTTGCATTTTTCTGAGACAAGGTCTCAGTGTAATCCGTGGCTGGCCTTAGAGTTCTAATCCCCAGAGCCCTCCTCCCTCTGCCCCCTCAAGGCCCTGGACTAAAGCCATTCACCATCGCTCTCAGCCACGTCTGTCACTGCTCTTACCTCATTTAGTTGGCTGAGATCTTTTATTTAAAGGGTACTAAATCATTTCCCTGACAAAAGCGTTGACATTTCCTGTGCTCTGTCTATACACTAAGTATTGGGGGCGATTAACTCTATACTAGATACTTTGTTAAGTATAACCCAGAGCAAATTAAAACTGAGTCACTCCTCACTAATATATCATATCTAATGAAGGTCACCGTCCCTGAAAGGAGTTTTAAAGTATGGGAGAGCAGGAGCCTGCTCAGGGCTCTTTTGGGAGAAAGCCCCGAGGGGAGCCTGTGGTTGGTCAGTGGGGCCCATGATCCCAAAGGCTAGCACATGAGCCTGACAGAGCTTTGCTTATGGCTTCTTTCTTTGACATCAGCCTCAAAGGATACTCATTTTTTAGTTACCTAACTATAAGTATGAACTTTTTCAAAAGGGCTCAGTATATGGAGACCTCTTCATGGCTAGGTCAGAAACTTTTACTTTCACTCAAAGATGAATAATCTAATAATTAAAAATTGGTTAGAGTAATTTTTAACTAATATTTACAAAGTACTTATGTGAGACATTGCTGTACTTTATTTGGTATAGTAAACCTGTTAAAAAATTACTGATATTTTTGTAGAGGAACTTTAGATCAAGAAATGATAAAGAACTCAAGCAACTTACATTGCTAGCACTTGTAGAATTGAAATTTGATCCTAGGTTGTCTCACATTTGTACATAAAACAAAATGCAGGAATAGTTATCTAATTAAAACTGGAAATTCCTAGCCGGGTGCAGTGGTGCACACCTGTAATCCCAGCATACAGGAGGCAGAGGCAGGCAGATCTCAGAGTTCAAGTCCAGCCTAGTCTATAAAGTGAGTCTAGGACAACCAAGGCTACACAGAGAAACCCTGTCTCAAAAAAACAAAACAAAAGCCTGGAAATTTCAGGATTATAAATATGTATCAGAGGAATTTATTTTATTTTATTTTTATTAATTACAGTTTATTACTTTGTATCCCAGCTGTAGCCCCTCTCCCCTCCCCTCCCAATTTCCTCTTCTCTCCCCACTCATCTTCCATGCTTCTCCCCAAGTCCACTGATAGGGAGGTCTTCCTCCCGTTCCATCTGACCCTAGCCTATCAGGTCTCATCAGAACTGGCAGCATTGACTTCCTCTGTGGCCTGGTAAAGCTGTTCCCCACTCAGGGGGAGGTGATCAAAAGCCAGCTACTGAGTTCATATCAGAGACAGTCCCTGTTCCTATTATTGGGGAACCCACTTGGACACTGAGGTGCCACGGGCTACCTCTGTGCAGGGGTTCTAGGTTATCTCCATGCATGGCCCTTGTCTGGAGCATCAGTCTCAGGAAAGACCCCTGTGCCCAGATCCTTCGGCTTTGCCCCTCTCCCCGTGGAGCTCCCGCTCCCTGCAGGTCTTTCAGAAGAACTTTTCTCCTTCTACATTAAGTGTTCTTTTCCCTGGATTTAGGTTGAAATCCATCTTCTTTATCATGGCTTATCAGGTTTTTCATTATCTGGTGGCTTCCTTCTCTGTAGTCCTCACCTCTGCCATCTTTCTTGTCCTTGCTTTCCCTGTGCTTGGTGACCTGGACCCCTCACAGTTACTTGAGTGTTCACTCAAGCTCTTTCTCGGCTGCCCCTACTCTTGCTCTTGGCTCCAGAGGGAGCATTGCCCTTCTCCCCACCACCTCTTTCCTTGTCTCAGCTTAAGCCTTACTTCCTTGGAGTGGTTTTCTCAGACTGTTGATAAGTCGGGTCCTCATTCATTGCCTCTCTTCAGACTTGGTGATTGCTATTTCACTACACTGTCAGATGGGAAGTCTCCAGTGGCACAGGAAACATCTTTGGGGGACATTAAATTCTCAGTGTGTAGAGCATGATGTCTGCCCTACTACACACATAGATTTGTTGCTTGAATTCTGGTTAAACTTAAATATTAGTAAAAATTTAAATTTGTATTGTGCTGAAATCCACTAATGAGTACTGAGAACTACTGAAAAGATACATGGCAAAATAAGACTTGCTTTTAAATTTCTCTAATGCATGTGTATATTTTATTTTCTTTGATCGAGTAAGTAAGGCAAGAAATAAGCATTATGGTAGCACTGTTTTGTCGACTTTTAGTGGCAATTATTTTGAACAACCGGAATTAATATTCCTGTTTGACTTCTGACAGGTGGAACTTCTGTGATTCACTTTTACAGAGGCTGTCTGATGAAGAAGAGTACTCCTACCCTGAGCTTGTGAAGGTGGTGTGGTATAAGGGTGTCACGTATAGGTAAGGCTTCTCCCTGCGTGGCACCTGGGGTTCTGTTTCTTCATTTGTTTCATAACTCACAGGGGGAATGAGACCATACCTACAGGCTGATTCTTATGAAAGGACAGCTTTGCTGGGTCCCCTGGGCTCCGGTATTTTGTCTTTATTTGTATAGCTCACAGAACTAATTTTCTTAGTGTGTGCACACAGGCCTTCTGCTCACATTGACCATGTTCACAGGACTCACAGTGCAGCTCCAAAGCCATTGAGTCTGGCTAGTGAGTAGAACGTTTGCACAAGGACTTGGGCTGTTCTTCTGGACACGAAGGTCTAGTTCTGTTACCTGGTGAGCCTGGACTCAGCCTCAGGGTGATTCACAGAAAGTCCTTCCTTTCCTGGCTGTTTGTGCCTGCACTACTCCAGTGACTTCTCCCTTCCCACCACAGAGTTCCTTGCTCTGTAGTGACTAGAATACAGTGTTGGCCAGGTGCAGCTCTATTTCCAGGAATAACATTAGAAGAGCATACCTGAGGGGTTTTGGTCACCAGAAACCCCTTCTGACAGCATGTTTTATAAATCTCTTTATTTTTTTTTCTTCTTCGAGACAGTATTTCTCTAAATAGTGTAGCCTGGCTGTCCTGGACTCACATCCTCCTGCCTCTGCCTCCTCCCCCTGAGTGCTGGGATTAAAGGTGTGCCCTACCACACCTGACTTACATTTTATTCTCTTTTCTTGGGAGTGGCAATACTTGTGTGTGCTACAGCATGTGTTTGGAGGTCAGAGGACAACTTTTCCTTCCACCACGAGTGTCCCAAGGTTTGATCTCAGGCCATCAGGTTTGGCAGCAATTGCTTTTACCTGCCAGGACATCTTGATGGCCTCTGACAACATAAAAAAGATAGATCTTTCTTGTTTTTTTTCGAACAGGTTTTCTGTGTGTATCCTTGGTTGTCTTGGACTCACTATGTAGACCAGGCTGACATCAAACTCAGAGACATCCACCTGCCTCTGCCTCCCAAAATGCTGGGATTACAGGCGTGTGTCTGCCTTAAAAGATAGATCTTTTATATCTGTTCCAATAAAAGTAATTTTTATACGAAGTATACTGAATGCTTTAAATATACCTGGCTGCTTTGTGTGTAATTGGTCATGTCTTAATGGATGGTGAATCATAACCATCAGGTAGATTATACCAGTCATATTTATTGAAAAATAATCTTTTATTTTTCAGAACCCAAAAGTGTGTTATTTAACTTCTGTGCATCAACATTTTGCTTTGGTGATTCTTTATGTCCCAGTCCATATGGTTGGCACTGGGGACATGAAGACAGGAGTCTGAACGCCAGAAGCGCTGAGCTTAGTTACTGAAATAAACACATAAGTCACTTTTGTGTGTTGTTTGTCTTTGGTTCAGAATTACCCATGTCTCAGTTTGGTTTGTTGTTGGTTTGGGGTTTTGTTGTCTTAATGATTGTTTTCATGCATGCATTAGTCTTAATTAGAAAGACAAAACAAAATGATTGTTTCTCTACCATAGGCTTACCCATAAAAATGTAAACTCAATAGAGATTTATCCTGGAGATGGATCGGTTTTCAAGTCAGAAGGGGCTTATTATGGTAACTATTTCACATATTATTCAAGTCAAGAAGAGTCAGAAAAGGTAAGCTAACTATGAAAACTCAAGAATTTTGATAGAAAGTAAAGCTTTTTTTAAAATCATAGTATATATATGAAATTTGCTGTTTATGTAACACTCCTTCCTGTTCTTCATAAGGAAAACTAATATAATCTTATTGTCATTAACACCCAAAACAGTTTGTTTAAATCAGAAGCTAAATTTCTTCTGTCACGAAGTTTGTCGATAAAAAAAATGCTCAAGTCAGAGCATTACTTTTGAGTCATTATACTATTTTTAATTAATATTTACACATTAAAAACCGTGTATGGCTAGGTAGATGGTTCTGTGGGTGAAATGCTTGCCACGCAGCATGAAAGCCTAAGTTGAAAACCCAGGACACAGTAGCGTGCGTCTGACATCCATACTGGGAGATGGGAGACAAATGGGAGTATCACGGAAGGCTTGCACGCCTGTGAGCCTTGCTGGTGCTATAGTGAGCAGACTGAGATTCTGTCTGTAGCAAGTGAGCACCTGAGCACCAGGGAGCCCGGACTTCCCTGAACTCCGCACACAGAGATGAACACACAGCATACACACACACACACACAAAGCATGTCTCCCCTACTGTGTGGTTGTTTCTACATATTAAGGACCTCTACCCGTCCTTTCTCAATACAGTATTGGAGGTTGTACCTGAGGCCTTGTGCCTGCTAGGCAAGTGTTCTGTCTACTGCGGAGCCATATTCACAGGCCTTTTCTGCTTTTATTTTGAAACAGGAACTTACCAAGGTGCCCAGGCTAGCCTTGTATTTTCTTGGTTGCCAGAACAGGCCTTCATTTTGCAATCTTTCTTCCTCAGCCTCCCAAGTAGCTATGATGTCAGACCTGTGTGCAACCTGGTGATTGAAGTGTCTATTATCTTTGTGTAAACTACACAACGGAACAACTGTTCCTGAAAACACTGAAAGAACATGGATATTTTGCTGCTGAGTTTTGAGTTACTGCCAGTCTACCATTTGATGTCCATTCATTATGGCAATAACCATAATATATACTATGTTGTAGTAATTTAAAAGTAAGATGGGTGTTGGGCTATATATTATTTATTGTTTGCCCTATGATTATCATGGCGTTATTATCTAGCCCAGCTTCACAAGTAGTAAGACACAGAAACCTGTTAAATTTTATAATTGCCTTATTTACCTTAGGCTAGGCAGATATTCCTATCTATGCTGCCTGAATATCCTCACCATCCATCTCCCAGCCCCATCCAATGCCATCTACCTTAATCCTCCTCAGTTGGTCCACTTTTCATCTATAATCCCATGGTACTTGCTTACATTCTTCATCTGGGCTCTTTTCATGCTATAATTGGAGTCCTTCCTCTCAGGCCATGTGGTTTCTTCTCCTAGCTAACCCATTGTGGTGTCCTCCTTTCTCTCTTCCCGTCATCTCTTTCCTGTGATTCCTTATGGAATTCTCCAAAGCCCAGGAACCTTAGCCATATCTACCCTATTCAGCCCGGCCCAGGTGTAGGTTGTTTCATTAACCAACCAAGTATAATGACTTAGGCAAGTTTACAGAGGGCCAGCATCAGAACAACCTCCAACAACCCAACCTTACTTTGCAAGTTAGAATAGAATAAATATGTTTTATCTACTTACTACAAAGCAATAAAATTATCAGAGTTTAAAATGGAGCAGATTTACTTAACTATGAACATTTCAAACATATAAAAGTAGAGAGACAAACATAATAGACTTTTTTTTTCATAATAGACTCTTAAGTACTAATTGTCCATCTCTGTTGCCCTCTCCCCATTTTTGTTTTAATTTTCTAAGTAAACCTCAAATGTCATTTCATCCATAAATCAGTGTGTGTTGGAGCAGATCCGCTATTGAGCTCTATTTCCAGAAAAGTGTTCATTTATTCAGTAAATGTTAATTGAACACTTACTGTCCTGGCCACTCTTCTCAAGGGTGTAATCGAATGGTTAGTCAGAGCGAAGGAAATGAAAGTATGACCATCGGCATCTGTAGTGTGAGTGCGTGTCCACGTCAGACTATAGTTATTACATGAAGACTTCAGACTCCCACTGCCTCCAGCAGGTCTGTAAACAGTAGATATGCATAGTTAGATGCTGGGGCAGTTGTCTGTGTGCGTTGGGTGCTCTTCTGCGTATGTGCAAGTGCACACATATGTATATGTGTGTGTTGGGGATTGTGTACGTGCAGGTACATATATGTGTACATGTGTGTGAAGGAGAGGGGGATGGCGACATTCGTCATCCCTCAAGTCTTGTTTATCTTGTTCTTTTATTTTATGTAAGTTTCGCCTGCATGTATATATGTGTAGCGTGTGCCTGTGGTATACATGGAGAGGGACAGTTCAGAGGGTTTAGTCTGTTATCCTCCTGGTGGGAAGCATGGCGGCACGGAGGCAGACAGGCTGCTGGAGAAGAAGCTGAACTGTAGGGCAGCCCCAATTAGTTTTCTTTATAAGAGCTGCCGTGGTCCTGGTCTGTCTTCATAGCAGTGGGACACTGACTAAGGCAGGCACTGACTGCTTTGTTCAGAGCGATTACAGGATTGAAAAAGTCAGTATAGTGAGCCTCCTAGACCTTCAGTTTTACTTAGTGACGAGAGGGCAAGCCACAGTTTTATTGTGAGCCAAACTTCCTCTGGGGTGGAGCCATGAGTTTTTAGGAGAAAGCACCAACTTCTAACCAAGCTTGACCGTTGCGGCCCCTCTTAGAGCTCTGTAATGAGGATAGTCGCTCTTCTGTGTGCCTCAGGGAAAAGGCATGGAACCCTGGCTCTCTGGTGGGAGAAAGTTGTTGACTTTTTTCTTCTTTTAGAACAGAAACAGTTTTATTGCTTATGTGACCAAGAAAACATGAACATGAAGAAGGGGTGTTAAAAAAAAAAAGGCAGAATTCTTACATACGTTAACCCATGCTCAAAAGCTATAAAAGAAGCCAAACTGCTTACAAAACAACCAGCACCACCACAACAACAACAAAAAAAACCTGCAGAGACCTAGAAGAAAATATTAGATACTAAGTCACTAATTTTAAAACCAAAACCAACTGAACTGGGAAAAACAAAACAAACAAACAACAACAACAAAAAAAAAAAAACAGAAAAAGCGAACACAAGATAAAAGTAGTGTAAACTTTAAGGCAATATTAATGACTAACAAATTACAAACATCTTTAGCTTTACTTGTGGCATAGGGAATGCACACCTGTAGTCCAAGCATTTGGGAGACAACAGGAGAAGCATGTGTTTTTGGCCAGCTGGGCTACATAGACCATACCAAACAAACAAAAAGAAAATGCCTGCTCCTGAAATAGAGCTTGTGAAAGAGGTAATTTTATAGTTTTCACTGACATAGCAATATCAAATATATCAGTTGGTTTAGCTTTCAGGGAAGACAATTTGATAATATCAAATTGGTTTGAGGGTAGCCTGAGCTACATTGTGAGTTCCAGTCCAGGCTAAAGAGTAAGACCCTGTTTTCAAAAAGCAAACAATAAATACAGGCCCTGGAGAGATGGCTCAGAGATTAAGAGTGCTTCTGCTAGCTGCTCTTCCAGAGGTCCTGACTTCAATTCCCAGCAATCGCATGATGGCTCATAACCAACTGTAATGAGATCTGGTGCCCTCTTCTGGTATGCAGGCAGAATACTGTATACATAATAAATTAATAAATTAATCTTAAGAAGTCGACGAAGAAGATGATGACGAAAGAAAAGAAATACAAACAGTTGTGTAACCTACCCATCTTACAGTTAGTAACTAGGAGACCTGAAGTTCGGATTAAGTTCTAACTTTGAAACCCATGTTCTGTCCCTGATGGTAAAAGATATGAGTATCTTGTGTCTCAAATCAGATCTCATCTCTACTGCTTCTTATCCCTCTACTTCAGTTCCTGCATCTAAAACCAGTCCTTCTTATTCCAGAAGTATCTTAAGGGTAGATGAGATAATGCACCACACATGTGAGCAGCTGCTGTGACATTTACTGTGACTAGACCTTTGAACCCTGGTGGCATTCTGTCAAAGGAAATCAGGAGATAAAAGAAGTGACAGGCAGTCCTGGGAAACAGTAGCAGGTCTGAGAAAGGGGAAATTCAAAAGGAATAACAGTTTCTTTAATTGTAAAGAAAAATGTAAAAATCTGAGAGTGTAAAGCTTTCTCTTCTCAGCATTTCTTAGTTGCCTGTAGTTCTTTGTTTAGGGTTAAGGTTCCACCACCTTTCCCCCTTCTACATTGGCATGTGTAAATATCTGTCAGTATTGTCCTTGTTCAGAGTCATGTTTAGGCATCCATGTTGGTGAGACTTCGTGGGTGTAGCTTCTGACCTTTGTAAGCGATACAATGTCACAGCAAACTCCCTGGTCCTCTGACTCTGTTGGTGAGACTTCGTGGGTGTAGCTTCTGACCTTTGTAAGCGATACAATGTCACAGCAAACTCCCTGGTCCTCTGACTCTGTTGGTGAGACTTCTGGGTGTAGCTTCTGACATTTGTAGGTGATACAGTGTCACAGCAAGCTCCTTGGTCCTGACTCTAGCCGTCTTCCTGACCCCTCGTCTGCAGTGACGCCTGAGCCTCATGCAGAAGTGTGTTGTAAGAAAAATCTGAACCTATAAATGTTAATTTTCACAAACCCTAGGGGAGATTCTTCCATCTTTAAAGCATAGCAAAATAGCATATTTATTCACCCAAAATCATTGTTAAAACCTAAATTGCCTTTTAAAACTTGTCTTAAAAGTGTGGCTTACATGGTATTTCTTGGTAATACATAAGGAAATTAGTTTGATTGCTGTTATGCACTATATGTATATAGGCTATGTTAGCTTACATACAACTGAGATTTATATTGAGCCGTAAGTTATAGACACTGAATTTAACTTCATTGGCTATGTGGAATAATCAAAGGGCATCAAAAAAAATACCACTAAAAATTGCAGGTTTTATGAGCTTTAGACTGTTGTGTTTGCTTTGTTGGTACATAGAAATATACTTCAAGGAAAAAATACCTAAGTAATAACAGTCATATTTATTACTGAGATTTTTGTTTTTGTCTTAACTTTCAGAGTGAAAGGAAAACTTATTCTGTAAATAACCTTCCTCCAGACAGACCAGGGAATCTCTTCTCTGTTTGTTCTCTGATTAAGCAAGCAACCAGGTGAGTTTATGACATTCAACTGAGAAAAAAAAAAAAAAAATCATGTATTTGAATACTAGGATGTTTTCTTCTGGTTATGAGTAAGGTTAAGACTTGGTGGGTACAATGGAAGTACGTGTCTCTGCTAGTTTTCTGGTCTCATACTTTAAAAACTGATCTGTCATTATAAGAACATTTCTGGTTTTTAAATTTAAGTATGGGGAAATTTCCATGTAGGAAATGGTGGTCCTGAGAAGGATAAAGTTTCATGTCTCTGGGGAAGTGTGGCATCCTATGGTTGCATCAGTCAAGTTTGGGATTTGAGGATACATTTGAAATTTCCCCACTTTCTTATTTTCAGAGTAATAAAGTTTTATGAGAATATGCTAAAGATAAAATGTGGGTTGGCTCTTTATTTCACCTCTTTTCAAAGTCTTCTGATTAATCTGCAGCATCCAGAAGAATGAAAGCACGATGTTGAATTAAATAATTTGTTTTTGTGAACTTATCTGCGAGCAGTTTCCCACATACAGCAGGCTCAGAAATTGCTTGCTTTCCTACACATAGTTGATACCTTTTCTTGCCAGTTAGGCTACGCTAACCCTTTGGGCATGTGACTCTGTCACCTCTTTAGAACACCTGAGAAGCCAGGCAGCTCAGCTTAGTAGCATGAGCTTGACCTGCTGAAGCCACATAAAGTTGGGAAGAGAGAACCAGATCCACAAAGTTGACCTCTGACCTTTATACACATGCCACGCATAGGTACCTGAGCACTTGTACACATAAGTGTATTGGCATTTTTTTTTTAAACTGGGCTTCTTATACCTCTGCCTCTCTCCTAACCCATATCTATTCCAAAACCCCAACAATCAGGTAGGA